GAGGAAACTAGCAAGTGGCAATCTGGGGGAAGAGGATCCAAATGGAACAGACACAGGCAAGTGCCCTAAGATGAGAAAAAGCCTGTTGTCGATGAGAGCCACTGAAAGAAGGCCAGTGTGGGTGGAGCAGACTTGGAGATGTGGGAGAGTGGGAAGAGGTAGGACTAGACGAAGCTCAGAAGATAAAGGGTTCTACTGGTCCCACTTCCAAAATAAGTCTTTTTTCTCTCTCCTGTGTGTCACCCTTGTCCGAATCCACTATCACTGGACATAGATTACCAAAGAGTCTCCTTACTGAATTCCCCACTTCTGCTCCGGTCCTGCTGCAATCCATTCCCTGCAGGGCAGGTGGAGTGATCTTAAGAGGGTCTACTCCAAGGCATGGTAAGGAGTACAAATTTTAAATGCAATGAAGAGTTGTAAGTGGGTGAGTGATATGATCTGATTCTACCTGCTGTGCAGGGAATGGACTTCATCAGGACAGGAGAAGAAGTGGGGAATTTAGGTGGAGACTCTTTGGTAACATGTCCAGTTAGGGTGGAATTGGACAAGGGTGACACATGGGAGAAAGAAAAAAGACTTTTTTGGGAAGTGGGACCAGTAGAATTTGCTGTTGTGTTTAACGAGAGTGAACAAAAGGGAAGAACCAATTGTGACCCCTAAGGTTATAAAAGAGTACTAATTGCAAAATAGTTATTTTTTAAGGAGGACAGAAATTTGCCTCTGTAGCTGCCATATATTGGTTACAATCCTCTCCTTAGGAGCCTGTGAAAGCAGCCCATTCCCACCTTCAAATATTTGAAGATAATTACTATGTTCCTCCTCAGATTTCTTTTCTTTGTCTAAATAGTATAAATGTTTTCCATCACTGCTCAAGGTTGTGATTTAGATCACCTTACTATGAACACTTACAAGTGTTCATTTCTGAATGTGGTTCATTGTTAGTTCTATGGTTTTTCATGAACAGCATTCACCAACAACCAAAAAAACACACTCTCTAATCACAAAGCAGAATTTTTCACCTTCATCCCAGAGAATACCTTTCTATTAATGTCTTTTGCGTCAGCTACTTCATAGATGTTGTCCCTCAAAATCTAAAAGGGGAGATAAGAATAGTACTTATGATGATATAAACTAAGATAAAAGGACCACCATAGAAAGGTACAAGTGCTCAAATTGGGGGGGGGGAGTTCAGACCTGCGTATGGGGGTCAAGAATGGCTTTTATGGAGAAATTTGAACAAAAAACGTTTAAGAACTGAAAAAGATGCTGAGAGGTGGCAATGGTGGAAACTGAAGAGAGAAAAAGAGAAAGAAAGTTACGGTGTGACAATGCATGGGGCATAGGAGCTTAGCCTGTTGTCATATAGGGCGTGCGTGTGCACCAGTGAGCGAGTACAGAAAGGGAAGGCTGTCATACAGGGCTGTGCTGTAGAGGCCACAAAGGTCACAATGAGGAATCCGTCCTTAGTGTGTTAGACAAAGGACAGTGCTGAAGGTTGGGCTCTTTGTATTGATGTTTTTAAACGAAGAGAGAGAATTTCTCTTTGGGAAGATTATTCTGGTAGCAGATGAATTTTAAGTGAGGAAAGACAGAAGAAAACAGAATGATTTCCTGCAGTGGTCCAAGAAGAAAGTAAAAGGGACGTATAAGTCTATTTTCTGTTGCTCACAATAAAATACCTGAAATTGGGTAATTTATAAATAAATGAAATTTATTTCTTACAGTTTTAGAGGCTGGGAAGTCCAAGTTCTAGGGAACACAGCTGGTGATGGCTTTCCTGTTGGCAGGAACCCTTTACAGAGTCCCCTGGTGATGCAGGGTGTCATGTAACAAAGGCTGGAACTTGTTAACGTGCTCACTTGCTCTCCTTATGAAACCACCAGTCCACACTCATGACAATTCATTAAACCATCAACCCATTACTCTATGAATGGAGTAATCCATTCATGAAGGCGTAGTCCTCACGATCTGAACACCTCTGAAGGGCCTCACCTTTCAACACTGCTCCATTGGGAATCAAGCTCCCACGTGAGCTTTGGACAGGACAAGCATTCAGGCCATAGCAGGGGTTAAACAAGGCCCTGATGGAGAGAATGGTAGGGGAGGGACAGATGAGGAGAGATGGTGGGCACATAGTCTCCAGCTTAGTAACTGTGCAGATGGAAGGACCCAACAAGGAAAATGAAGAAAACACACCTTCTTGCAAAGATAAAACCAAGATTTTATACAGAAACATCACTCTTCCAAGCCTATCTTAATGATAGATTAAGATATAATTATTTTTTAGACTTCTTATCACACATGTCTTCACAGTATACAAAAAAGAACTAAAACTTCCTGTTAAATCACAAGGTTTGGGCCAGTATAAGAAATGGTAGAAAACAAAATCATGTAACTTAAAAATAAAAGACAATTTAGACTAATATCGTTACAGTAACTATTTTAAACCCCAAAGTTCTGCTATCCTGCTATGCAAGGACTGGTTTGACTACGCAATGCACACGACTCAAGTCACAACTCGGGCAGCAAGCACGACGTGGAATCTCACTTGTGGCTCCAAGTTCCTCATCTGTCGATTGTTACGTGCTGTGAACAGCATACCTTCTGTGCTCTGTGTGGGACTGACTGGTATTTTGCCCCAGAACATTTACTAAATACTGAGGGAGGAGGAGGAGGAAGAAAAAGAGGAGAATGAGAGACAGAAGAAGGAAAAGAGAGGACAGACTGCCTTGAAATGTAAAATACAGAAATATACTTGGCAGCTAAGGTCCCATATTCTTATGTAAACATTAACACCATCATATTTTGTTGCTTTTTCTTTGAATTTTTTCTTTTAATGGTCAATATATTTCCAAACTAATTTGGTCCAAATGAAAATATTTTTACTGCTTTTTTTATTATAACTTAAAAAGTAACATATTATTAAAAACTCAGAAATTACATGAAAGCATCAACAGTAGAACCAGATTAACCTATCATCCCACCACGCAGATAAACAATGTTAATACTTTATTTATATCCTCTGACATTTTGCTATGTGCGTCTTTTCAAAATAAGAATTAGGTTCCCTTGAGTGTCCTTTTTTATTTTTGACACAATTTGTACTGGGCCTCTTCTTCCCGTATCTCTTTCCTTCCCTTTCTGAACCATTCAGTCCTCAAACCTTTAGGAGGAGCAGAGCAGAGGAAATGTCAGTGCTGGGCAAGGTGGGAAAAGGAGCCGTGGAGGTGCAGGGCATTGGAGCCCTAAGAGGGGAAGGAGGTCTGCATAGGAGAGCTGTCCGGTGTGGGAAAATCAGGTGGGGTGAAGAGAACGTCCATGCCAGGTGGGCAACCTGGCACAGGGGGTTACAGGTGAGGAGGGTATCCATGAGAAGGAGTGACCAGGATAGAGAGAAGGAGGTGAATCAGGGTGATAAGGACATCCCCACAGAGGAGCAGCCCGACCTAGACTGTTGGAGCCTAAGGGAGATGTCTCCACAGGACGGGATCATAGGCCAAGCTGAAGGAAGACAGCATCCCTGTGGGGTGGCCTGTGAGGTGAGGAGGGTGTGTGCAAAGGAGGGTGGAAGCATTAAAGCTATGGGCTTATCTGAGGAGAACCAGCATCTTTATCAATTGGATTTTCTAATACAGAAATTGTATATTTCTCCATTTATTAAAATTATTTATGTGCCTCAGTATAGTATTATAATTTTACTCTCATATTTCTTAAGTTTACTCTTAATTATTTAATATTTTCATTGCTATTGTAAATGATATCTTTATCACATTAGGTTCTCTGTTTCTTTTTGGTAAAATCCAGTAAGTATAATACTCACTTATAATTAATTACGCAGGTGAACTGTATTACTAGTCTTTAAGTTCTAATAATTTCTAATTGATCCTCTTGGGTGATAAGTATTTTTCAATATATTCCAATTAAAACTGGGGCCATCATTCATTTTGTTAATATGAAATCACTTAGGTTAAGTTGCAGACGGGGGAAAGACAAAAGAATTTAAATGGTCATTAATTAGTTAAATCACTTACTCATCTATCACATATTTACTGAACATATACAATAACCCTGGTCAAGTTACATAACCTAGATAATTCTCAACTAGAATTATCCTAGATAGTTTTCTCAACTGTCAAATGTAAATAATCAAAGGAACTTTCTAAGCGTTAAATGAAATAATACACGTAAATTGTTTAGCATTTCACTTGTGAAGTGCCCAATAAATGTTCTCAGTGGTGATGACAATGGTAATGAAACACACTATGAACTGTCCTTCCCANAATAAATGTTCTCAGTGGTGATGACAATGGTAATGAAACACACTATGAACTGTCCTTCCCAGTGCCTGCAGAACCACCATTAGTTGAATGACCTCACTCTTCTTTTATTCTAGCCTAGTCTGTATTTCTTCTCCCTCCTCTTCTCTGCCATCGGTAGAATGGCCCTCATTACCCTCCTCACACACACACACACGAGGAAACCATGAGAAATTCTTCTAGACTCTATTGACCATCCTCTATCTGTCATCCCCTTGCCTTTCATTTCATTTGTAACTTCTGAAGCCTTCTATGTATATGCCCTCAATAAATACTGATAGATTTCAAAGAAAATTGGAAAACTAAAAACCTCACAAAAAGTCCTACTGCCATATGAAGGTATCAGCAAGACAGTCTGCTTAGTAGACAAGACAATTCCATAATAAAATCTGAGACAGCATTTACTTTAAATTATTCCTGTAAAATATTACTGAATCATATTAAATTGCCATATGCCATAATATTAAATTTAAATTTTGAAATATAGTGATTATATTCCCCTCCCAAAAAGTATGTAACGTTCAGAATCATTTGCTGATCATTGCTCTTCAACTTTACAGAAACCATACCTGTTTTCATATTAAGTTGCAATTTGGAAAGCTGCTTGTATTGCCTATTAGCCAAAAGTCCAATTTTTTCAAGAAAAATGTAAAAATAAGTAAAACCCAAACCATAACTTACCCACTTCAGCCAAAGTTCTGATACAGGATTCCACTGAGGCTTTCTGTGCCGGGTTTGGCCAGGTGCAATTGTAAATTCTGAAGGCAGATTGCAGCAGCTGAATAAAAACTGGCTGATGTGTCTGAAAACAGAAAGNATTCTGAAGGCAGATTGCAGCAGCTGAATAAAAACTGGCTGATGTGTCTGAAAACAGAAAGAAAGTAGGCAAATGGTGCTGCGAAACCATTAACACCCCTGATGCAGTATCTATGCATTATTCAGAAAGGTTCATCCAAAGAAAATAGATCAAGTTTCAGTCCTATTTAATAAGTATCTCATTCAACAAACATTTGTTACACACCATTTCATGACAGGCATTGTGCCAGACACTAGAAAAAAGATCGATTACTTGTATTTTAACTATATTCTTAATCAGAAAAATATGCCATTTCTTGAAGCCAATGTCATGAATTTAAACATATTTTTATAACCCCTGTTTTATTCCCAAGTAAAAGTAGGCAGGTGTTTCTGGATTTGGATTTGGGGGGAGGGGGGTTATATGATGGGCAATAGAGGAGACAATCATTTTGAACTACAGAAAGAATTTCATATGGTTCTATCTAATAGTTTAAAATTTTTCCCTAAAGAAAGTACAATTGAAATGATACTTTTATAAGAGTAATACACAATCATGGCAAGATATTTGGGAACCATAGAAATGAAAAATCATCCATAATCCTACAATGTAGAGATAATCAA